TCACAGATTAACTGTAACACACTCTGGGGATCTCTCACACGACACTCCAGAGGTAACTGACTTATCACAGATTAGCTCTAACACACTCTGGGGATCTCTCACACGACACACCAGAGGTAACTGACTTATCACAGATTAACTGTAACACACTCTGGGGATCTCTCACACGACACACGAGGTAACAGACTTATCACACACTGTAACACACTCTGGGGATCTCTCACACGACACACGAGGTAACTGACTTATCACAGATTAACTGTAACACACTCTGGGGATCTCTCACACGACACACGAGGTAACTGACTTATCACAGATTAACTGTAACACACTCTGGGGATCTCTCACACGACACACGAGGTAACAGACTTATCACAGATTAACTGTAACACACTCTGGGGATCTCTCACACGACACACGAGGTAACTGACTTATCACAGATTAACTGTAACACAATGTGGGGATCTCTCACACGACACTTCAGAGGTAATTGACTTATCAGATAATAAGTAAAATATATTATTTAGATTTCTCACACGACATACGAGAGGTAATGACGGAGAGTAGATATAGTACACTAAAGTGCTGCATGCTATCTCACTGTAATGTAAACATACATGTAAATAAACTCATTTTTTTATATACGACAAATTTGTAAAGGTACATAAACATCAAGTTTTCAGGGAGAGTAAAAATGAAAGCCTGGGACAGATGAAGATCTACCAATCATGATATGGCTATTATATCACACCTGCTGCCATCCATTCCCGATTTCGCATAATAAATCTTATTTTATTGCAATGCTATGTAGGAAGACCAATTCAATTATGAAATTTTTTGTCAAACATAAATTTTATAAACAAAACGCCAGCCATACATCAAATGTAGCACGCATGAACACTGTTACAATTGTTGAAGAAAACTGTTATACTCGATCTTACGATAAATTTTTGACACGCGAATATGTGACATATCAACTATCATACAAACGACCTATTTCTATCTCTCCCGTCGTTTTATTTCAAGTGAACGCTCAAGTGTTTCATGTACATCAAGCAGTGTTGACGAATGGTCGCTGTTTTAAATGGGAGCTTAATATCCCTTCCTGAACATGCACAGATCTTTGGCAATTTCATTTTTTTGGAATATCTTTGTACAAATGAGCTTACACTGCGTTCAAGATGACTGCTAATTACATACATTTTTATAGAAATTAAGTGGTAGAAATGAAGTGTACATGATGCTGTCTAGACAAGCAAAGACTCAGCATGAATTGTGCCACATACAGATAAAATGTATGAATCCCGTCAGACATTTTGTCCAAATAGGTATAATGCACATATATCTTATTTTATCTGTAAATGACAAACACCTTTGAAAATTTTGTCTATACACGCAATTAAGTAGATATGTCCGACGAACGATTTAAAGACTATATATATAAAAAAAAAAAAAAGCATAGATCGAAAACATGTGTAAAAAAACCCACTAAAACCTATGGTTATTCAAATGATGGTAATGTGGTATCGGTTGAGATTAGATAGTTTTTCCTATATATCGCAGTTTCGTTCTCTGTATGCCACGACATAGAAAACAGATATCATGAATTCTTGAAGTTCATATCTTTCGCACAACCTAATTGGACGGCTAGATGTTCATTTGAGAAATTGTCAACCCATGTTTATTATAAGTGATAAATCTGAAGTAATTTATTTCCAAGGTTTAGAACTGGCAAGCATCATGCATCTATCATGATATTCTGTGTTACTTCAGGTATAACTAACGTGAACCGAAGTCCATAGTGTCCCTGCCATCGCTTCATTAGGACGGTGAAAACAGATATGCGCTATACTGAAAGAAACATTCATCAATTTCCTTATCAGTCGCTAAAAGGGCGGCCATATCTATTTCAAAACTCGCCGGCAAAGATTGCTCTCAGGCCAAAATTTATCAAATTATCTACATACATCACAAACATGTGTAATGTCTCTGTGCATGATGCACGTGCATGTACGTGTCTCATGAAGTAGAAAATCGTCCTTCTTCCAATTCATATCTAGAAAACTTATTAATAATGTGTAGCTAATTTCAGATTAGAGTGAATGTAGATTGTGTTTGTTGCCACTGTAAATCTTAACTTGAATCTAAGAAAAAATCGTTATTTCTAAATTTAAAAACCCTAACTTAATTGCAAGAAAAATGGTAATTTTGTCTTCACTAGGAATTTCAACTGTGATAGCTTGACATATTTGTTGAATTTTCAAGGAATGATCATTTCTATAAGTTTCCTTGTAATAATGTCGAGCTGAAGCCGAAATTATAGTGCTTTCAAGATGAAACATACTACCAAAGGCCCCCAGCAAGACACATCACCTGGTCACAAACTAGTTGTTACTCTAGAAAAATGCTGAAAATAAAACCATGAAAGAATATTAACTCTTTACTGTATTCCAATACACCATATCGGAAGTAGGCTGTACTTATAATGATTAATGGTTGTAGACATTTCAAGCAATATATTTCTTATAACGAAAAAATCATATCATAAGGTAGTGGAACTATATATAACTGGAATTATAAAATAAAAACCAGATAACATGCACGTTTTTATTGTCATTTTGTCTTCAGATTTGATTACACTGCCAGGAGTTTGTGTTTCACATGCGACATCATCTACTTTTTATATAGCTCTGTATCTAAATTCAGCAAGATAAAGAACTATCGTCATGGATTTTATGAACAATAATTATTGCAATTATATGGTATTTGTTAGCGTAGGATCTAGGAGTCTCTTAACGAACACGTGTAAACTGAGGCGTATGTCGACTGGCACGGAGTGTCGCTGTAGCGACAGGTCGTCAACAATAATAACACTTCCGGTCTATACCGGAAATATTGTTAAGTTAGCACGTTATATTTTAATTAAGGTGTAATTCAAAATTCCAACGGATACATTTCTTATCTAGATCATGGCTGTAACATCGGTAAAACAATATACCATGTAAACAACCAAATGGCTTACATTGGGAAACATTACATTTTTTGGGGTTCTTTGTTTTGTTTTGTTTTGGGGGTTTTTTTCAGAGGAATGTGTAAATCAACATGATTACCCACCAGAAGAAGAAATTACAGAAAAAATTCCAAGTTGAATATGCATCACTGAATTATTTGCATCTTAAAACTAACAATACAAAACAATCACATGATATGTTTATAGTTTAACATCATTAGACAGAAGAATTTACAGAGAAATAAGGGAACTTGTTATAGAAAAAAGTGTGTACCTGCTTCGATAGGATATACTATGTACATTCAGGTAGAGAAATCTCAACTTCGGTTCCAAAGGAACTACTAAGAAAAAACGATCCAAAGCTGTTCACATGAAGGTGGATGATATCTGACATTAAAAAAAGATTTAAGGCAGTTGGTGAAAGTTCAGAAAACGTTACAGATAAAAGACTGTTATGGCGCGTTATGTTGCTTAACTTAAATGACAGTTGAGAAGGCTGCTAATAAGAAAGCTCCTTTGCTCAGGCACATTCACGGCAATGGGATTTTAGAACAGATGGGCACTTTCCATTGGCAATGAAAACCCATAAAACTAAAAATGTGTGTGAAGTTGTATGTACATGTATTTCATATTAATATTAATAATTATGTTTTGTGTGTCTTGTCTTAGTCAATAAAATGTTTGAAAAAAATGGCCATAGAAAAATTAATTCAGAAAATGTTACCTCATTTATTATTCAAATATGACATTCACAAAATACCTTCGAAGGACCTTAGAAAAAGAGCTCACTCTCCGAAACCAATAAACGCCATCACGCCTGACAGGATACTCTGTAGCTCGTCAGCGTTTTAATTCGTAGTGAACTACACTACACAAAAAAAACCTCACTTCAGATATCAGCAGTACCAACAAAGTATCAGCCTATAAACGGATCAGCATCATTGGAACGAAAATATCACGAAAGCCATGAACAAATATAAGGAGTGCCGATTGTCACGGAAGGATAAAATGATACATACCATGTATCAAAGTGGCAAAAAAGAGACTTGTGTGTGAAAGGTGTATCAGCAAGTGTTTCACAAAATCACAGTTTTTAGAATGTACGTAGCTATACAGAACATTTTATTCCAATTACATGCCTGATTAAAGCCTTATTGTCAAGCAGACAGTATTAACAACACTGAAAGTGCTTGAGATCGACATTTAAGTGGAACATAACGACTCTATGTGCTGTTTGAAAGGAATTCAATCGGGTTTTAAAACAACCGTACGGCAGCCATGTTTAACTTGTTACGATAATGACTTCTAGTAATGATCCTTAATCAAACAAATTAGTTTATCTACGTATGACCTGATTTAGAAAGATAATCAATTTTGCATTGTTTGTGACCTCATTTTAATAATTATTATAGCACAAGAGATGTTTGTTCTTCAATGAATTCGATAAATTGGAACCATCTCTAAATATCACAATTTCGACAGATGTCGAGATCTGGTCTTGCTACTTCGACGTGCTTGGTTCCATTGTTTTTCTGTGTTAATAATTAATATTTCTTCATTATACATAAGCCGACGTTGCGTTATCAATTTTACTATGTGTAGTTCTTGTATAACATCGTTGATAATCAATCCTATTACATATATGTAACTGTTAGAAGAAACTACTGTTAGTGTTACAGGTCTGTCTTACACCACAGTGATACTGCGTCTACCTCACACAAAATATACTGTTAAAACACTAACACATCGGATTTAAATGGACCCATTCCGAAGAAAATACTGGAAAAAGTAAAAGGGTAGATATTTTGCATGACAAAAATTTCTGCGGGTGCAGACTGAGCTTAAAAGCCGAAACGAGAACATTTTGATCTGAATTGATGCCACACGCCGAAGGACTTGTCATAGATCGTCAGGTGTTTCAGAGGAAGGGGTAAGGTGTGTTATAGACTTTAAAATGTATATGTACTATGTAATGGTAAATTGTACTTACCCTGGCCTGAGAGTGACTGCCTCCGACACATAAACGACCACGGCCAAAACACAATAAATCATCGACTGTATGCTCACCATCTTCTCCAGTTCGACGACCGATTTGAAATGGTATTAAAATTGACGCTATTCGTATTTGTTCATACGGACATATATGACAAATAGTCTATTAATGTGACAGAGAAGTCCACAACGAAAAGAAAAACATACTTGTTGTTCATTACGGTGTGTTCTTAACTATAGTTTGTCGTTGTGTTTTAACATGATTAGGGCATGTTATAGGTTGTTGTTGAAGCTCCGAACGAGTGTTAAGTGTTGGCAATGGGTAGCGCAGTGATACTAGTTAACTACTTGCCGGCCTGTCCCAAAGCCCGTGTCTATACCAGGATACACTTAACTGTGCTAATGTATCACTGTATCAGGAGACTGAAGTAGTCTACAGCTTCACTTCTAGAAGTCTAGTGTAGAGATACAAGTGGAACATTTAAAGATTTATATTCGGTCACATGCAAATGATAAACTCAACAAAACTATTATGAAAAAATTCCTTTGTTCCATTCTTTATATTGCTACATAATCATTTGATATTGTGATGTTGCAGACAGGACCGTCGAAAATTGATAAATTCAAAGTTCAATGTAGAAGCTGACATTGCTGTATACACCAGTGAATAACTGGAAGAAAATAAATGTTTTAAAATAGTGAACAAAATCAGTTATTTATATATTTTCCATCCTATGATATTCAATCAACAACCAAAATGTATGTGTTTGCGGCCTAAAGTTTTGAATAAATCTTGAAAATCTAGAATTCTTGAGACATAAATATGACTTTAGTATGATGTCACTATTATTGTAACGACAACATGTCATATCAACAGAATAAGGCTCTTTAGGTCGGATACACTGAATTCGATGAGGTTATGGAAAAGATTTGGTATTTTCCCTCACTTTATTTAATACTAAATCACTGATACTGAAACTGTGTCTTCTTGGAACAGAACCTTACACATGGTATCCATTGTTCACCAGATCAGAGAACGTCTCCGGTAAAACAAACATATTTAGATCCTCATAAGGACCAAATCTTTAAAAGAAACGCTTCCTCTGCCTACATGTATGTCAGTATTATTTTAGTGATACTGTTGGTATTTGTGATATTTTGTGATTTTTTAGTTAAGAGGAATATCTGTTCATAGGGTTATTGTGATATTTTGATAAGTATAAGTATTTGTGATGCGTTGTGAAACTGTAATAGGGAGGTGTGATATTTGAACATTTTCAAGGATTTTTTTTTTTTTATGATATCATGATTTTGATCGAGATATGTGATAGTCTTAGACTTTTTGTTGCTATTGAAAACAACATTATATTTCACTTCAAAAACGACATGAAAATACCAACATGTCAACATAATCATAATCAAACCCTTAATTCAATAAAACTAGGGCAAAATATGGAGAAGAGAAAATATTTGCACAGGAACTCCTCCTGAAAATATATAAGGATAACGGATTGAGTTCGGGTGTTCCGGAAGGGTAAGTGTCATCAACGACATCCACCAAATCTCTCCAAGCAAGCAATGTCACAGTCTTAAATGAGAACAAGGTATAAAACAACGGGTTCAACAGGCAGCATCAAACAGAATGTACTCTTTCCCGTGAAATACCAGCTGTACTGGCTGTAACTCGCCTGTCAGCCATAGCAATATCATGAACTTAAATTCCGTCCCCAACCTTTTCACTGTAGCGTATGAATGGACATCATTCACTAGTGTTGCTACCATATCAGTATAGATATTCTTAGGTGCTAGACATTTCTTATGCAAATATTGAATAATTGCTCTTTCAGCAATTTTGTCCACTTGGCAAAAGTCAAATTTGTTTAGAGTGCTACCTCTTCGAAATAAACTGGTCAAATGACACCAATCTTCGGATACACAGCCCTAAAATAGTCAGGGAATAATAGAGCTGGAAAGGTAATTCCTACTCAACTTCTTCAGTACAAAGCTCACAACATATCAATCAGCCCTCAAATTTGTTATGTAAATCTTGACGTGATGAATTAACATCAAGACCTAGGAACACCCGCAGGTGTTTTTTTTTTTTTTTTTTTTCATTTAAAGTTCAAGCTGCTAATTCTTTTGAGAACGATGGACGGTATGGGTCTAACTTACATTGAAAGTGAATCCAACGCAACAAGCTTATGTTTCCGCTCCCTGGCATAGTTTTCCTAGAAATCCATTACTATCTTGAAAATTATATTCCGATCAATAAACGGGGTTTCACGATATTTAGGATCCATCACGAAAGGTTCTCGCTTAACAAGTTTGATCATTTTTGAATCGTCAGAGACTATGGGCCCATATATTCTCTTGTTAAAGGGACTTGACTTGAATGTGATGATGAGAGTTGAGAGTAACGACATGCTCTAAAGTACTTACTTCACCATTTACGCCCATCTGCTTTCTACGCCTCCGCTATCTGCGTGGTGTATACTTTCAGTGTGAAGTATAGTGTTTGTACTTAAGGTCGCTCCTGAACAGTGATTAGTAAGTTATAGCAATCCATTACCAAACATTTACACTGTTGCTTTGGAATATATTCCATGAGTATGCTTGATTGTAGTTTTATCTCATTGACAAACATTCTATTTCTTCTTTTGACATGAACGTATTTGGTGCTCGTTAGTTTGCCTGTTGATTCCGTTGTTGTATACCTTGTTCTCATTTGAGAACATGATTTACATGGTGGGTGTCGTGGATGAAGTAAAATACGCTTACTCTTCCGGAACACCTGGTGTTATTCTCGTTGTATATTTTCAGGGGTCTCAGCGTAAATATTTCTTTTGCTAATATTTTCAGTTCTTAATTTGGTTTTTACTGTATACTACAATTTTTAGTGATGTGGTATCTGTAGAAATACAGCTAAGCTGTAGATGTCGGTATTACGACTCTTCGAATTAACAATTCATTTGTTCTAGGCCGATTCATCAAGAATGTTTACAGAGCTTTAGAATAATTAATTCGTACTGGCTTGTTTTTACTTTGTATATTGTATTGCTTATATAAATACTAAGCTGAATAGATGTTAATCATTAAGGTGGTGAGCTGTGATGAAATGTGTATATTTAACTGCCAACAATCAACGCGTTTTCCCCGTTCATATGTACTTCGATTGCTGTTTATTTTTGTCTTTAGGTGAACGATACAAAATTATTTAAAAAAGTCCCTGCTTCCAATTGCATACTTGGAGAAGGAAAACAATAAGGAAAACGTACGCTGTGTACAGATGGTGTAAAAAAACACGCCTAAAAACACCTTCGTAATAGCTCTTACCTTCCAAATCATCTGCTCGAACATAACCATTTGTAATTAAACCACTTCCTATATACCTCCAAACTTTCAATGTTAAACAATGAAAATTATCTACATCAGATAATATTTAGTACATAAGGAGTGAGTTATCTATCCTTGTCACCAGATACCGCGTAACACCAACCACTTACAAAGTCGATGAGGTTAGTGCTTGGCCCTCTTAAGACGGGACTTAAAAAATCGCCATTATAGATAATTAAGATTAAATACAGATTAGGTTTTATTCCGTAATGAAGTGTGATCACGAGGGGTCGTTGTTATGTATGTATGAACGCAGTAACATGCATTTAATGATAAAAAATACACGACAACCCGACTATTCAGTATAACTAGGTCTCCATGAAATCTTACGCAGAATAAATGCATGGTATGCAAGTTCGTGTAGTAGCATCCGACCACATTATACCAAACATCATTTTGTTGTAAATCAGTTGAATTCAATGTTATCTTATTTTAAATGCAACTTGATTCACATGGTACTCGAGAGAGTAATAAGTTTCAGATAATTAATATAAATTCGAAACGATTATGACGCAACGCAGATATTTATTGCAAAATATCATGAGAACAGCATTTGTTACATTTCCCAAATAAAATACAGGTATTTATCAATTTAATGAAAAAAAATCACTGCAGTGGTAATATAAAAATTCTTGTATTATCACTATTGATTTTATAACGTTTCCAATGATGGTATGACACTGTTGTTTTGACCAGTAACAGAGTGATTTTTTGTAATTGGATATAACCTCGCTGATTACCTATTTGGTCGTAAATGAATCTAAGGGGTTTTTCATCAAATCTGTGATGTTTTTGTTATATTCCTCTGATATATTAAACATTCTATCAGATAGCAGTATAGAATAGTAAAATACCATGTAACGCGGCCAATGAAAAATGGCGTCGTCTTCTTCTCAAGCGTTACGCCAAAATATCTGACGTCAAAGGATGTGGTATCATTTCCCGCAGGTTTTAGAATCTCTGTTCATTTCATTTTTACATAATTTCCCCCGTCTGTTTTTCTTCTTCTTGGAAATGTGACAAAATTAAAAGCTTTCTTGTTAAAAACAATATCTATTTCTTTATGACAGAATAAACAATTTTTTTTCACAAATGCGAATATCTGTATATATAATTCGTAAAATGATATATGAAATATCAGACTTATTTTCTTTTTTTTCTATGTTATGTCCTTGCATCGAAGTGTATTTGCTTTGTGATGGCTGTTAGGTGAGCCAATGCTATCACATCAAGTAATACATAGTTACATTGATGTAAATAAGCTTCAATACACGTATAAAGAATAACAATCCTTATATTTTCATTTAATAACCACAGCTTGTCATAAAACATAAATCAGCTTAAATTAGTTTTCGTATTAAACCGGAGGCAACAGGTGAGGATACTCGAGCGTCATTGACAACGCCATGACAACAAAATACTTCCAAGAACAAAGGATAATATTAGTGTATTTATTTGTCATTTGAAAATACAAGTATCACATTGTATCTAGATGTATTTCATGTCTCTCCACATTTAAAGATTGAACGAAAAACGTAGCCAATGATACGAAAAGTCCCAACCACATTTATATAAAATTTGAGGAAACAACGCGTATTCACTCTGTGCAAGCCTAATAAAATTGTTATTTGATTACGCAAAAAATAAACTGCTTTAACAGTTCTTAATCGTATGCGGAGAGGACAATAAGACTTAGAATGCTATAATGATTTTTACAAAAAAAAGTTGTCGGTTTAGAAAGAAAAGGTCACAGGACGACACCGTGTTCCAAAACAGATAGGAGAGGCTATACAATTATTCGCACTCTGAGGAAACCTTTTAGTCAGGAAGAGCGTGAACGCAATATAGATTTTAAATGGCATCATGTGCCTAAAATTCACTTCATAGTGTTTTTTCTCGTTTCAGTAATCCATTTTCGATTAAATTTCCTTCACTAATTGCGTTATTCTCTTTTGGAAAATGAAGGCTAAAAAAGGATAAACTGTCAATT